GGGAATGGCGGTCATGGCTGAGGTGCCAGAGCGCCGGAGGGGAGGGAGGACAAGACAGCAGAAGTATAATGGCGGGGACTTGCCCCACCCTGGCGGGTTTGAATCTGGCGCCAGGAAGTGACGTCATTCTTCTCACTCGGCCCGAGCAGCTTTCAAAATGGCGCCCGGAAGTGACCGTAGAACAGCGCGAGACTCGACCTCTCTTGGCCGCCGACGCGCGGTCACCGGCCCGTGGCCTTGACCACCCGGTGACCAGGCGGAGACTTGACCATTTCTCGTCCCGTCGATACCCGTTCGCGGCCTCCCGCGCCCGCCTTTAGTCACCGACATCCTCGCTGCTCGCGACTCCCGCCCGGTTTACCCGGTTTTCCGCCCGTCCCCGCCGCTCGCCGACAGGCCCTACGTCATCACATGACGTCACTGCGCGGTACCGCCGCCTTTCACAAGATGGCCGCCGCCAGACTGCCACGTCACACATATAAGGTCACTGCCCTGCTATCATACCTTTACCAAGATGTCCCCCAACACATATATCCCTACCCCCCACCCCGGGTCCCTTTACCAAAATGGCCACCATCAACTGACATCCCGCAACGCCGCATTTAAAAAAGATGGCCGCCAATGCGCTTCACTAATACACAGAGGCACTCACTCCTTTACTATCTCTCTCTCTTTCATACTCACTCTGTCCGTCCGCAATGGAAAGAGTGAAAGAGAGCGTGTGTTGGAGAGGGAGAGTGAGAGAGTGTGAGAAAGAGAGGCAGGGAGAGAGTGTGAGTGTGATAGTGTGTCAGAGAGAGGGAATGTCAGAGAGTGAAACAGAGAGTGTGAGACAGAGTGTGTGAGATAGAGATGTGAGAGAGAGTGTGAGCGATAGCAAAAATAACATCCTGTGTGCACGCCTCTCATGGCGGGAGGAAGTCCCCGGTCGCTGGACAGACAGAGATTCCGAATTTGTTCGCAGTGCAACTCCACCTCCCAGTACTGTGTAAATGCCCACAATGTTCTCTAAAATAATAACAATAATAAAAATAAATAATAATAATAATCCTGATATTTGATATAGCACTTTTCACGTCTTCTGAACATCTCAAAGGGCTTCACAGAATACGCTGTAAAATGAACTAACTGTAAATATGAGGAACAAACTGGGCAGCAAATTGAGCACAGCATTGTGTGTCTGTCTCTGTGGGTATCTGTCCGTCTGTCTATCTGTCTATGTGTGTGTTTGTGTCTTTGTCTGTCTTTGTATAGATCTGTTTTCATGTGTCTGTGTGCGTGTCCATGTGTGTGTGTGTGTGTGTGTGCGTTTGTGTGTAAGAAGGCAAATTGCTGAAGGTTTCAAGCCCAGATGGGTATCGAACCCCGGTCTGTGGCTTGCGATGCCAGGGCTCCAAAAACTGAGCTTGATGACCCGTTGCTGAGACAGTTTACCGTAAAGAATCTGAAGAGGTTTGAGGCGTCTCGAAGGCGGGATCAGGCGATGCGTCAAATACATTGATTATTATTATTATAATAAAGGTTTTAACACCAAATTAGTCCTCTCCACTTCAAGAGGGGTAAGACCTCGCTTTAAATTCCAAATACGATCCACAGACTGAAATCCTCCAGCGGCTGATTGACAGAGAAAGTGAATGAGCGAGAGAGGGAGTGAGTGTGAGAGAGAGAGACTTACTGCAAAAAGCCGTTTATATATTTGGGATTAATGTAGAATTGGGAATATTTTGCACTGATGCACTTTAAACCCAGCGGATCTGTGGAGTGTTTTTAACCCGTTACCCGTGTTATCCACCGGTTTGGGTTTAAAATCAATGCCCAAAGTAAATGCAAAACCGTTTTTATATCATTGATATTAACGCAAACTTTGGTGTTTAATAAACTACTGCACTTTAAACCTCGGGGATTGGGGGGCTCTTAATCCCGTTTCCCATGTTGTAAACAGTGAGTGGGTTATTATTACTTAAACACAAAGTCAATGTCCAACCGATTGTGTATGATTGGGATTAAGGCAGAATTAGGATGCCTGGGAAGGATTTTGAGAAGTCTGGTAGACTGATGAGTAGCCGTGCGCAATGTAAGGATAATTATTGTCGAGATCTGGAACTGAAAGTTGTAGCCTGAAGTTTATGGTGTGAAACGTGGCTTACTTTTCTCTGTGGAAATTGGCGCCACATTCGATCACAAACACAACTATCGCTTCACTGTCGATTCCGAGAAACGATTGAGCCGTGAGCCCAGTGTGAAAGGTGTAATATAAACAACAAACATTATTGTGTAACGACACAGATTATAAAAGGTTCAGCCTAGTGGCCATCAAAGCCAAACACAGGTCATGGCTGAGGGTCTCCTCCTCATTAATCTGTCACCCGGCAGATCCTCAGAGGGTCACAGTTTCTGCCGCCGTCATTCAAACCGGGACTGAAGAGAGGGTAAAGTTTCTCAGTGAAAGTCTGGGTGAAAGTGTGGAGATGAGACATGTTATCAGCGTTGTAAAATGTCAACTGTCCCCCTCATAGTCCAGGAACACTCCCAGCTTCCCGGGTCTCTCTGTCAGAGGCAGGGAGGTAGGAATTGAGGTCAGAGCTTTATATTTATTCCCGTTTCTCAGCCACAAAACCCAGTATCCGTTCTCTGGTGTGTACGTGATATCTCCTTTCCTGTTGACAGACTCTCTGGCCAATCCCACAGTCCACTGTGTTTTGTCGGCCACCTGCGCCTCCCAGTAATGTCTCCCTGATGTGAAGCCCTCAGACCCCAGGACACAGGGACAGGTATCAAACCTCTTCGGGGTGGTAGGGAGCTGCTGCCGTGTGTCTCCGAGTCTCACGCTGCTCAGGTTCTCAGACAGGATGAGGTATGGATGAGCTGTGTCAGAATCCAGAGTCAGAGAGGCCGGAGCTGATAGAGAGAAACAACACAAAGTGAGGGGACGTCTGGGATCTCAGACTATGTGCGAACACATCTACACCTGGGAAAACAATCCAGCTCAGAGGGTCACAGACTGTGTGAGGGGGTGTGTGAGTGTGTTTGCAAGGATATGTGTGTGCGTGCGAGGGTCTGCGTGAATGTGTGTGTGTGAGGCGGTTTGTGTGAGGGTGTGTGTGAAGGAAATTGT